TCCCTCTGAATTATTGGATTTTTAACCCAGCTCCTGCAATTCCAGCTTTCTCTGTGTGTCAGGATGAGCTGGACACTCCACAGGCTGGAGTTGGGAGCACATTTAACCAGTGCCCAGCCCAGGCTGTGCCTCTGGCACATAAAAACCTGCCACAAATCACACCCAGCTGGAAAACCAAGGCCAGGCAGGCATTCCAAATATTCCCAGCCTGGATGGAATCAGTGCCAGGGAGCAGGGAATGGAGGAGCAGCAGGAGAGGGATGTTTCCAGCAGAACAGAGTCCCACACAAAGGGAACTCATCTCTGTAGTGCTGTGGTTTCACTCCTGAACCCATCAAAGGGGTTTCTGGTGGGAAGGACCATGTTTGGAGCTGGGTGTAAATACAGCCAGAGCCATTCCCAGCTGGGGAGGAACAGCCTGAACACTGGGAATGAACACCCTGAACATCCCTCACTGGGAATGAACACCCTGAACACTGGGAATGAACACCCTGAACACTGGAAGTGAACACCCCAAATATCCCTCACAGGGAAGGAACACCCTGAACATCCCTCACTGAGAATGAACACCTTGAACAGGAACACCCTGAACATCCCTCACAGGGAAGGAACACCCTGAACACTGGAAATGAACACCCTTAACACTGGAAATGAACACCCTTAACACTGGAAATGAACACCCTGAACATCTCTCACAGGGAAGGAACACCCTGAATTTTGGAAATGAACACCCTGAACATCCCTCACAGGGAAGGAACACCCTGAACGTTCCTCTTTGTGGAGGAACACCCTGAACATGAACACCCTGAACATCCCTCACTGGGAACAAACACCCTGAACATCCTTCAGTGGGAATGAACACCCTGAACATCCCTTGGTGGGAATGAACACCCTGAATGTTCCTTACTGGGGAGGAACACTGAACACTGGGAATGAACACCCTGAACATTGGGAATGAACACCCTGAATGTCCCTCAGAGGGGATTAACTCCCTGAACACTGGGAATGAACACCCTGACCATGAACACCCTGACCATGAACACCCTGACCATGAACACCCTGACCACCCCTCACTGGGAATGAACACCCTGACCATGAACACCCTGA